GGCCAGCTGGGGCTACAAGAGACTGTGTCTCAAAAAAAAAAAAACAAAAAAAAAAACTGTTAAGGGATTCTGATGACTGATGATCAGCCCTGAGCAGGAATCATTCAGACAGGAGAGTCATTCTAGGTTAGATTGGGTGAAACAAGTTTCACAAAGAAAGTAGACTTTCAGGGTTGGGAATATAGCTCACTTGATAAAATGGTTGCCCACCTTGCATAAAGCCCATGGGTTAAACCCCCAGCCCCACATAAACCAGGCATGATGGCCCACACCTGTAAGAAGTTCAAAGTCTGATACCAACATGGGCTACATGAGGCCCTGTCTGAATTAATCAAAAATAGAAGAAGGCAGCAGAAAAATTTAAATAGACGGGAAAAAAGCAAAGCAGCCAGGTATGGTGGCACATGCCTTTAATCTCAGCACTTGGGAGGGAGAGGCAGATGGATCTCTGTGAGTTCAAGGCCAGCCTGGTCTACATAGCATGATCCTGTATCAGAAAAAGAAAAGGAGATCGGTATATCATTCTACTTCCCAGAGGAAGATGCACAAACAAGATGTACAAATGGCCAAGCAAGGAAATCGGGGAGAGTAGTGGACAAACCATTCTAGAAAGAATTTACAACAAACAGAGCTGGTAGAATTTACACTCCATCTGGTAACTACAAAGTAATTTCTGGTTTTTGGCTTTAAAAAACATAAATCAGTACAGGGCTTAATTCAAAATTAGGAGTTAGGAGATGAATAGGTGATATGAAAGGCTGTGGGTATTTAAATTACTTGCTGTGGTTTAACTGTCTCCTCCAAAACTCAAGTTGAAATTTAATCACCACCGTAGTGGTATTAAGAGATGGGAACTTACACAGGTGATTATGGAAATGGGTTAGTTATGGAAGGAGTAAGTACCTGATATTTTTTAAGAGTTATTCAGTCTTGTTTCTTTTCTGTTTCCTGCACATGCTCACTTTCCCTTCTTCCATGTCATGGTGCAACACAAGGCCTCTGCAAGACACTGACACCATATTCCTGACTCCTTGGCATCCAGAACGATTTAAAAAAAAAAAAAAAATTTACCCAGTCTTAGGTATTCTGTTATAGCAACACAAATGAACTGATTTGAGAATTTGGCAGAAGGATAGAAAAAAAATTAGGGTGGAATTTAAATAGGAAGAGGAAGATCAAAAGAGGATTTTATTTTCTGAGAACAGGGAGCTGGAATGTTTAAAGGAGAGGGATAGGAATTTGATGAAAGAGAAAAGATATTTTAGAGAAAGGATAAAATTAGAACTTGTATCTCCCAAGTGATTTTAAAATGTTTAAAAGTAAACTATAATGAGATTACACTAGCTTAATTAGAATTGAAATCTGAGGAAATTTGGTGGGAATAGGAATCACTGAATCTCCAAAACAGTGCGGGGCAAAAGTGGACAATAGAAGTAAATAAAATCTCTGCCAACTCTGTTTACTTGATTTTCTCTACTTGACCCCAAGCCCACAAACACTGCTAAAGTTATTCAGAACAGAAACAGAACTGAATGGAAAAGGTTCAAATCACAAGATACATGCACACACATATAACTTGAGCTAGAACCAAAGCTACATGATTTCTTTATTCCTCCATAAAGAAGTGAGTTTTGGCTTGAAAACTCATTCACTAGCTTAACAAATTTTTCCTTGGAGGAATCATTAAAGTTTATTTACAAACAACCCCAAAGCAAAGGATTTTTTTTCTCTTTATCTATGCATAATAAGGCAATTATCTTGGTTGTATTTTTGTATGATTTTTAAAGATAGTGCTAACAACTCAGAATCGATAGGTCAATAGCAGTCACTTTTCATAAGCCGTAACCCGAACAAAACAATTCTTGAACAAAATTTTTTGTCAGTTAAGGATAAGATGGAAAGAGTGGACAAAGTATATGGACAGATCTGTACAGCCGTAATTACCCTTGTCTGTGAAGTAGTGAGGGTCAGTGCCAAATTGATAGTGTTTCATTTTATATTCGCACATGTAAAATTTTAATCAATGAATTGAGACTTGCATGGTCATTTTTTAATGGAATGGTGTTACTTTTAAAAAATAGATTGTGGGGATGGTGAGATGGCTCAGTGGTTAAGAACACTGACTGCTCTTGCAGAGGCCCTGGGTTCAAATCCCAGCTCCTACATAGTGGCTAACAACCACCTGTAACTCCAGTTCCAGGGGACCCGATGCCTTCTTCTGACCTCCGGGGGAACTTACATACATGCAGCCAATATGCTCATACACATAAAAAATAATATATTGTATTATATTTAAATATCGAAGCGTTATCCCACTTCATTTGTCCTCATAAAAGCTTTCTGATTGGAGAATGTTATTATTCCAGGTTGATCAAATAGGTAACCTAAGAGTTTAAGACGTTAGCTCTTGGAACAATGAGCTAACAATGTTGGGTGCTATCGAATCCTAAGCAGAGCAGTAGTTTTTGACAGGATTATACATCTTAGCAATTACTAGTTTAGGGGTTTAGTAGTAGTACCTCTAGTTACATAGTTCTTGATAATGCTTGAGTCAGCATTAAAATACTTGATCCGGGATGTTGATGGAAACATAGCAATAGTGCATGTTTTATGGCTAGTCTTCTGAAGGTCACTTGTACACAAAGCCCAGGATGAAAGTCTTGGTTAGCTATGTATGCTAACCCAACCATACCAAAAACCAGCCTGTTGGGTATGACTTATCCAGAAATGTTTTTGTGTTTTGTGAAGTGTCTCAGGCATTTTTATGGAATACGATGGTGTATATATTTTTAGAATACCTTTGTATATGGATTAAAGGTTAAGGCATAATTATATAACCAAGAGGATGCAATGTATGTGTCACCAATCATAAAACATACTATTTTATGAAGCAACTTTAAATTTGATAGGTACATATTTTTATTTCTTTCCATTCCTCAAAGAATTGGCAAGCAAGACATACTTTATACCTTAGCCACAGAAACAGAATGAGCCCTATTATACAGCAGCTCAGTGTACACATAAAACTCTTTCTATAGAAAAACAAAAGCTAAACTAAAATGGAACTCTCATTTGGTCAAACCTTATTTTGAAACAAAAGCCCTGACCTGTGATGTCATTTCTGGAATGGAAAAGCAGAAGTCATTTTCCACATTGTCTACCCAGTTTTTGTTGTTTTGACATGGTTTTAAGAGGTTTTGTTCTTTGGACCAGTAGACCTGCAATATGTTGAAGCTACAGATGGAGACCATCTTTTTTGTTTTTCGAGTTGTTTAGTTGGGGTGTTGTGTGTTTTGTTTTGTTTGTTTGTTTGTTTTGAGACAGGGTCTCCCTTGTAGGCCCAGCTAGCCTGAAACTTACTATGTAGATCAGGCTTGGATCTCACAGAGATCTGTTGCCACGCTGACTCCTGAGTGCTGGGATAAAAGGCATGTGCCACCACCTTCGGCGAAACCATCTTTTTAAAGTTTTTAAATTACTTGGATTAGGTTGGAAACTCAAAGCGCAAGCGCAAGCACACACACACACACACACACACACACACACACACACGCATCTACCATTCAGCTTCCAATTTTTGAATTTTTAAAAACTTCATTTATTACTTTTATGTGTACGCATGTATTGCCTGCATGTAGGTAAGTGCACCCAGGTCGTGCAATGCCTGCGGAGGTCAGAAAAGGATGTCGGATCCCCTGGGACCAGAGCTACAGACAGGTTAGCTGCCATGTTGGTGCTGGAATTCCAACCTGAGTGTTCTGCAAGAACAGTGTTCTTAACTGCTGAGCCATGTCTCCAGCACTGTATTTTTAGTTCTTACACAAGGTTAACAATGACTAGGAAAATACATCATGAAAATATATTCTCTCCATAGCAAGTCCCAATATAACAAAAGTGCAGTTCGTAGGTGGCCCTCTGCTTGGCTAGGGGAGATGTTGGCACTCCACCTGCTGATTTAATCTGACCAGTCAAGTAACTGCAGAAGAGACTCATTCTTTATCCGGTCTTACGCCTCTGATCTGATTTTGAGTCATAGCTGCTGGAGTAATAGGTAAGGAAGTCTTGAACCCTACAGCAGAACAGGATACCAAGACAAGCCTGCTGGACCCTAAGCGGAAGTCACGGGGACAGCCGGGATGCGCTTCATTGGAACGGCAATGAGCCGGGAAGTAAGGGTTCAAAAGGGGGTCTTCTTTCCGACTTCAGGGTGACCCTTCAGAGGTGATCCCTCCCTTTCCTCCGTGACTTGATGGGAAGCCTTGGGAAGGTCACTTGACGCCGCCACCACCTGCGATGGGTTTTGAAACCACGAAGCTGCAAGTCAACGGCAGCCCAGGGTTCCTTCCCACAGCCGCGCTCGACACCACGTGGCCACAACCCATTCCCGCTGCAGCCCCAAGTGCAAGAGCAAACGAGCGCTGGGAGGCCCCACGAGTTGCTTCCCGTGTCTTCTAGGCCGCGCAGAAATCAAAAGCGGCGCGGGATGCGCTCCCCGCGCGGGCCAGATCCGGACCACGGAGCTGGGCGGAGCCGCCTGCGGCTCGCGGCGCGGAGGAGGAAGACGCGGGGGCTGCGCAGTGCGCAGGCGCGGCGCCCCGCCTCCCCAGCGTCGG